ATTTTAAATTTTTTAATATATAAATTAATTAAAATGACGTGGATAATAAGTTATTTTCCATGTAATTAAATATTTCAAACAATAATTGATTTCATGGCAACTTAACGTGCCATCTGACACTTCCGTCGACGGAAGGACCAAAATGGTTCCAAAAATTGAAGTTTAGGGATTTTTTTAGTACTGTTTTTAGTTTGAGGGTATTTTTAATCCAAAAATGAAAGTTTAGGGACTGAATCGGGGATATAACCTAAATTTTTTTTTAACCTGATATCACTTCGCTGGTATACTCATCAATTAATTATAATTAAATAATTAATAAATTAAAAATAATATTTTTTTAAAATCATCGTGTCCCTAAATTAGTAGACGAGAATTCTACTCCGTCAACGAAATGGATTGTTCATCATCTTCTCCGACAAGGCATCTTGCTTCACAATAACAAGGATTAGAAAACTCAGATGAGGAGATGAATAGAAACCCAAAACAATATTCTTTGAAGCCAAATAACAATACAGTCCAAGCAAAAATCTATTAAGGTATAGAAAGATTTAAAAGTTGGTAATATTTTTAACCTTTTTGCTTGAAATGGTTCTCGCAGGTTGTACTACTATAATGGCACATGAATTTTCAGACATTTTAAGGATACAAGAACACATTTAGAAAATGCCAAATCAGGCACAGGAACCCTCTCATCCATCTTCTCCGCCCCTGCAAAATACAATAAACCCCCCAATCTCTCGCAGCCAAGAAGGTGAAAAAAAAAAAAACAAATTAACAAACCCAGATTTGGGTTTCCAAAATCTGTATGGAAATGAGAGGAAATGAAGAAAGCAACCACGACTAGGCCATTCAAAAACAAACCCAGAAAAGAAACTAAATTCTGCAACATCCTTGGGGACAACAAACCCAGATATGGGTTTCCTCTATTATAACCAAAATTGCAATTTCAATTCTCATCATTCAATTTCAACACTATTATACCCAAAATCACAGCAACCAAACTTGCAAGACCCAAATACATGGGTTTGCAACTCCCTCAAACTCGTGTGACAAAGGAACTCAAATCTCGATTTCCTTTGTTCTATGGCACTTCGAGCTCGTTAGGAGGCGTGGTTGTGTCTCTTGGCTTCTAATCTAGGTTCCGTTTTTGCCTCAACTTCATATGAAGGGAAAGAAAAAAAGTGAGAGAGATCAGAGGGACCTCAATAACCGAAGAAGAGAAGGGTATATTCGTAATTAGGTAAACGATGAAGAAAAGGGTATATTCGTAATTAGGAAAAAGATGTAATTTTGTCATTTATAATAAGAAAATGATTTAAGAAATATTTTTTTAAATATTTTTTTATAACTTTACATATTATTTAAATAATAATTTTTTATATTTTTATAAAACTTAAATAAATTTACTTATTTAATGACATATAAAAATTATATAAAAAAATTATTTTATATCACTACTTATAAAAAAAAGTGACAAGCGTCATCTAAGCATTCAACTCATTAAAAATGGCCACCTAAACGTTTAGGGTGTTTTAAAAGTCTAAATGAATTAGCCATTGATGGATTAATGACATTAGATGATGTTGTACATCAAATAATGAAATATTTGTTTAAATTAAAAATTTTATTAGTGAATTTGTCTTATTGATTAATTTTGAGATTGGATTTAGATATTTTATTTTATTTTATATTAATTTTTTATCAAACATATAAATGTTCACAATTCAACAAAATTTCAATAAAATTTATCAATTTTTTATACATTATTTTCCTAAACACTTCCTAGATAAAACTTTCCGTAATTAAATTGGCACTCTAACCAAGCAAACCCTCTGAGTGCAGAACTTAGCTAAGCCTAATCCTCTATGTCAACTTAGTGAGGTTTCTTAGGCTTATTTAAGATAGGTTTGGTTTGAATTTGCGAGCTAGTTTCGCGATGATTTTGGTTCAAACATATTTTTACATGTTGATTATAACCATAATTGAAAACTTACTGTTTTTATTAGTTCAAAGAGTAACAGAATGCTTCGTACAATTGAAAACTAGCTTTAAGACACTAAAATTGACTGCTTCCCTTCCCTTGTTATTTTAAGATACTTAGGAAAGCCAGATCTCACTATTTGTCTTACATGTTTAGAGGTTTAATGGCAATAGGGAGGCCATATCAAGGCTGTAAAATAAGGTGGTCTGTAGGAGCATAATGTTTGTACTTGGGAGAGAGGGAGAAAGAAAACTTTTGGAGAATCAGGGCGAGCACAGTTTTAGCTTCCAACATTACAAAGTTTTGTCCAATACAAGCTCTTGGGCCAATTGAGAAGGTAAGCAGGGCATTTGGGGGTTTTGCTGCCTTAGATATCCCATTCTTGAATATCAGAGGGTTGAACTCATTTGCATCTTCTTCTCAATATTCTTTGGTTTTATGTATTTGGAAAAATAGATTTACTAAAAGTGTGTGCTTTGGAATCATTAAATTCCCAAATTTCATGTCTTCTGATGCTTGTCTAACCATGGTTATCATTGGGCCGTAAAGGCCTTAGGGCCTCCAGAAGAACCATGTGCACCCAACAAGATGATTGTGGGAATCAGTACTTTTGGAGATTGAGAAGAACAGAATGGATGACATATATATCTTACTAGTTTCAGCTTGGACAGTTTATCTGTATTAACACCTCTTCTCTTAGTTTTGCTTGCCATTCCAGATGTTTGCTCAACAAGAACACTGTCCAAGTTAATAGGTTTGAAGTGCTCTCATGCCCTGAAGAAAAGAATGTTTTGCATTTATCCACAATTTCATTCATGCTCAACTTGAGGTCTCCTTTAGCTTGAGTGTTTTTTAAGGCTGCAATCTACACACCAAGTAAATCATCCCCAAAACAACATTCTAGAGAACTTACACTAAGTGTTCTGGAATTCTACAGCCTGCTCTTTACAAGCTGCCTTATTGATTTCTTCATTTTTCAATCAAGCTTCCATATCCAAAGGTAAAAGCCCTTGTTATTGCTATAGGAAAGGTTTCGTGATCATTTAAACATATTTTCACATGTACATTATAACCATAGATGAAAACTTATTGTTCTTATTAAGATCAAAAAGTGACAGAATGCTGAGTACAGTTGAATGAAGTAGCTTTAAGACAATAATAAATTGACTGCATCCCTTTATATTTTAAGATACTCAGCAGAGTCGGATCTCACTATTTGTCTTACATGTTTAGAGGTTTAATGACAATAAGGAGGCCATGTCGAGGCTGTAAAGTAATGTGGTTTGCAGGAGCATGTTTGTAGTCAGGGGAGAAGGAGAAAGAAAACCTTTGGAGAATCAGCGCAAGCACAGTTTTGGCTTCCGATGTTGCAAAGCTTTGTCCGCTGCAGGCCCTTGGGCCAATTAAGAAGGCAAGCAGAGCATTCGGGTGTTTTGCTGCTTTGGATATCCCATTCTTGAATCTTAGAGGATTGAACTCACTTGCATCTTTTCCCCAATATATTCTTTGCTTCTGTGCATTTTGATAATTGGAATCATTACAATTGTTTTCTTTGGAATCATTAAATTCCCCAGTGTTATGTCTTTTGATGCTTCTCTAACCAAGGCTACGACTGGGCCATATAGCCTTAGGACCTCCAGAAGAGCCATGTTCACCTAACCAAGCACACTTGCTAAGATCAGTTTGTTGGAAATTCGAGCAACTCATCAAGAAGAAAATAATGTATGATTTCTTACCAGTTTTAGCTTGGCCAACATATTAGCATTTGGAGTTCCTTTCCCACACTCCTTCAAGACCTCTTCTCTCAGTTTTGCTTGCCATTCCTGATGTTTGCTCATCAAGAACATTGCCCAGGATAACAAGCTAGAAGTGGTCTCATGCCCTGCGAAAAAGAATGTTTTACATTCTTCTATAATTTCATTCATGTTCAACTTCAGGTCTACTTTAAGTTGATTGGTTTCTGAGGCTGCAATCATCAAACTGAGTAGATCATCTCCAAAACAACACCTTGGAGAACTGTCAGTGGTTGTTCTGGATTTCTGTAGCCTGCTCTCTATGATCTGCCTTAGTGTTCTCTTCATTTTCCTATCAAGCTTCCATATTCAAAGATTGGATGGTGTAGGTAGATATCTAAAAGGGAACCAAAGAAAAAAATGGAAAAACTACTGCTTTATTATGAAGAAGTCCAAATTTAAAGAAGAAAATTAAGTTCTCAGAGTATGATAATTATTGGCTCCCAGGGATGAGGATACTAGAATTTGCAGCAGTAATTAGCCTTTGCAGTTGTCTTTGTGCTTGGAAGACCTCCTTTCTGTGCACATAATTACTTCCAAAGGCAGTCTGGGCAATTATGTCAGCAGTGAGTCTTTGAAATTCTGCCAACATCTTTATCTTTTTGCATCCTTCATTAGCCATGGTAGCTTGGTCTTTCCATTCTTGAAGCATGGATATGGCACATGCTGCCATCCTCTTTACCATAAATTTTAGTTTATCAAGGGAGAAAGCGGGATTGCTTATTCTTCTGTGCCTAATCCTGTTTTGTCCCTCAAGTAATACCAAACCGTTCCTTGCCAGTGTTAAAAATATTGGCAAAACTCGAGGTTTCATGTAGAAGCCAAACTTGTTGGATAGTATTTGCTTGGCCAGCTTGGGATATGGAATGAAGAGATGCAGTGTTGTTCCATGCCAATACAGAAAAGTCTCTCCTTTGACATCAAAATTGAATATCAATCCATAGTGTTGACAAAAAGTGTATAAAGGTGACTAGTCAAGCCAAAGATCTAGGAGCCCTTGTTATCCAAAACAATATAGAAAGGTAAAGAGAGAAGGAAACTGACCATATTCTGAGGACCATCTATTGTAGTGAGGAAGGATTTCTTTGAACAATATCATTTGAATTTGTGTCAAGAATCATTTCTCTTGCTTCCATCTTCATTTTATTTGTCCCGTCAAGGGAGCCAGAAATAATTCTTCCAGGTGGTCCATTGACTCCTCGCTTCTTGAGTCTTTTAGTCAAGGAATATGGCCGCTATAAAACAATCCATAAAACGTGCAGAAGCTTAGAGACTAGGAACAGGATCATCAAAGCTATCATGGCAAAAGGTAACGGAACCCATTTTGAAAGGGCTAATACTTTCTTGGATATCTTAGTTATGGTGGAATTGCTTTTGTAGATACAAGGCAACCCATTTTATGCACTACGTCATGTAATAATGTTTCATTGTCAAAAAATCAATAAATCATTTCTATTATGGAAATTACCATTTTCATGGCTAAAGCTTTTTATAAGGTGGGTATATATATATATATATAATATTATTACTTTTTTTTGGCATAATATCTTATGGCGATTATTTATACATACTCTTTTCGCTCAGTATTATTAGATGTAAGGGTGTTCAAATTTAGTACATTAATAAAACTCAAAAAAAAAAAAATCCAAAAAGTTCTTCAAAAAAATAGAAAAAGCACCAGCTATATAGTTTGGTCATAAAATT